TGCATTTTCCTTTTCAAGTGCCAAAAGCAATCACTGAAAAATATCAGTGAGTCACCGGGTTAGTTTTCGAATTATTTAAGCCACAAGCTAAAAAATGCGTCTGAATGAGCCTATGAAAGCGTTGCCATGGAAACTGCTAGTGACGAAATGACACGTATTTTTGGATAACCAATGATTATGTAATTCAATCCCGTAAAAGTGTTCAATTGGCCTCGGTTAGTCTTTCTGTTGTATTCTTTCAAAGTTACAAACCATGAAAAAGATGAAAACTGGTACGAGCCACCTTAAGGACCCCTCCAGGGATTTGTTGCTAATTTGCCCTTTCGGGCTCCAAAGGCCTTGTTATGGGATTTTGTTACGGTTTACAGTTGTAGTTAAAAGTAGGCCTCCCCTTTTTTTGCTTGCCGCATTACTTCTTTGCAGTTGGTTACGCCACTCATTTTAACATATTTAGTATTCTTATATGGTTTGAATAAAAGAAAGGAATTTCATTCGAAAAATAGAATTTGCTATAATTAGTTTTCCATCTTATATTAGGCGCTACTAATTGATCGTTCAACAACAACAACAACAACAAAGTTGTTGTTGTTGCTGTCGTCCTTCGCCCGGTTAGATGTAGAGGAACGTTTAAGAACTGACAGTCTTGAAAATGATTCTGAAAATTTTTCATTTTTGGATGTTCCTTGACGCTTCGTGTTTTGTTGTTTTATTTGTTTGTTTTGTTGTTGTTTTATATTAGTGCTCCCAGTACCCTTTTTATTTTGTCTCTGGAAAATCCAAATTAAGTTCAAGCCCCCCTCTGAAAATGTTTCTTCTTCGTCACCCTGTTTCCTTGTTAAAAAGGAGCAATATTCTGCTTTTCTCCAATTCCTCAGTTATAAACCCTCAGAGGTCCCTCAAAGTTTAAGTGATATTTCGTTTTGCAAACTTCATATCTTAAAATTTTTTTGCGTGCGCTGTTTATTGTTTCATACGCAATCGATTCTTTTTTTAATTTAAGGAAAAAATTTTCATGGCTTCAGCAGCAGCAGCACCATCATTTCGTTCAACAAAAAAGACAACTAACTACGCCCGGTTATGCAGGCTTCTGGTGGATATTAGCTCACATGTCCTGAGAGAGATATTTGACAAGAAGCACCCGCCAGGAAAACTGGAAAAAGTCTTATCACGTCCACAAACTCACGCAGTGCTACAAAACCTCAGAAGAAAAAAAGTACTCAATCCATCACAATGGGGAAAACTGTATCCTGCCATAAAATGTTCGGTTTCATCTCAGCATTTTGACATCACCCTATTGATGGTTCTTTTGAGGAACATTTGTTGTTTGGTTGCCCCACGTAATGGCTGGGATAAGCTTCCTCCTTTAGCAGACACAAGCCTTGAGGCAGACATCGCGCGCATCAAGTGCTACAGAAACACAGTTTATGGTCATGCAAGCAAGGCCTCAGTTGATGACGCAACATTTAATCAGTACTGGCAAAACATCAAAGATGCATTGGTGAGACTGGGAGGAGCAGGTTATCAAGCTATTATTGATGATCTGAGAACGGAATGCATGGACCCTGATTTTGAGGAACACTACAGAGAGCTTCTTAAACAGTGGGTGATGGATGAAGTCAGTACCAAGGAAAGATTGAATGAAATGCAAGAAAATTTAGTGAAGAGATTCGATGACTTGGAGGCGAAAATAGTCGGCGATTCCGAAAGGAGGAGAAAAAAAGGAGGTAAAAGTGAATAAATATAATATTTACCAATTAAATCTTTAGAAAAAACATTTGACTATGGCAAAATTGCGACAAAATACTTCTAAAACCATTAAAACGCATTTTAAAGGCTGGAGAAAAAAAATTAAGAATTGTATTCCCTTTCCTCATTTTCTAAGACTTTGTCGTTTATGTAGTGATGACTCTGATTTTTTTCCTTAAATCAGAGTCAATATGCCAGTTTTTCGAAAAGCGTGGTTACCCTGTTTCTGTCGTTCAAGCGGGTCACCACCGCGCCCAACTTATTGATCGACAGTCAGCACTACAAACGTCAGAGAAGGAAAATTCCGACCGCATTCCATTCACTCTCCCATTTCATCCTCACAGCCACTCAGTTAAATTCATTATGTTTAAAAACTTTAGATCACTTCAAAATGATCCAGAGACTGGTACTATCTTTTCACAATCTTGTTAGAAGTTCATTTCAAACTAATGACCAACCCGGCAATTTTAAATGCGCTCGCGCACAAGACAAAGCTTGTTCTTTCATTCACAACGCTGGAAAATATCGGAACCCAAACGATCCATCAAGATCACTGATCACTTCACGTGCACCTCTGCCAACGTCTTCAAAAGCAAAACTTGCACTTATTGCAAAAAAATATACGTCGGCGAAACAGGCAGACGACGACTTAGTGACTGATTCCGAGAACACCTTCGCGACGTAGAAGGGAATGACAAGCCAGGACGCATCAAAACCAGTCGCTTGACACTTTAATCTATCTAATCATTGTAAGCAGCATATGGCAATCTGCAGCCTTTCCTAAATTTAGGAAGTTCGGAAAGCTGCAAAACTCTTGAACAAAAGTTTATCTACGTATGATGCACGATCCTCGCAGTAGAGAGCGCTATTTATGCAATAGCGAAAATCAGACCTGAAAAAAATCAGGCCTGTACGGGATATATTCTTTCAGGTCTGATTTTCGCTATTGCATAAATAGCGCTCTCTACTGCGAGGATCGTGCATCATACGTATCTAACACCGCAGTTTAAAATATATGAACTTCATATATACATTGTAACCAAAAGTTTATCTTTTAGATCAGCACTCTTAACCCCACAGGCATCAACGAACGCTTTTCATTCTAATAATTTAGTCGTGTTTTCCTCGTCACCATATTCCCACCAATAGGGTAGCTCCACTTTCTGCTTATAAACCCACACACAACCTACAACTTTCCTCCATTGGCTCTGAAGAGGGGCTGATGCTCAAAAAATCAGCTTTTGAACTCTTTACGGTGGCCAATTTACAATTTCAACTTAGTTGATATAACCAGATTGCCTTGTTACCCCCACCAAAGCAGCACCACAGTTTCTCTAGAAATTTCACCCTTTATTCATTTGAAAAAAAATTCGTCGACGACGTTTCGATGTTAACATAACGTCATTATCAAGTAAAACAATAGTAACTTTAAGAGGCTTTAATGATAAAATAACTTTAGATACTGGCCAATGAAACCTACTTTAACATTTTCTCAGAAACTTAAAAAGGCATTTATTAGAATCGCTTCCTACGCTCGCAGAAGTGATATGTTTGGCAAACACATATCATCAGTATTTGAAATGCTTTCTCTCAAAAAAACTCAAACCGAAGTCGAACGTGCAAGCGGATTACATAAGTGCAAAACTTTTTGTTCAGTTTTTTAATTAATTATATGTTGCTTATTTTTTTTAAACGTTTTTTATGATACCCATATTGTCATTTTACTATCTAATCTTCTCATTTTCATTTAACAAATGTTAAGGGCTGTTAACAGATTAATTTTCCTTCTTAATATGCTCATAAAGAACTTTACTTAAAGTGCCCTTGTTCTTCTTAGAATCTTTCACAAAAAAGAAGGTAAAAGAGGACGTCAATATTCTGATTCTGGGAGAGACAGGAGTTGGGAAGTCGACCTGGATCAACGGGATTGCCAACTACTTGAAGCACAGCTCTCTCCAAGCCGCCATGGCTGACCGCCAATTCACTGTTTTAATACCATTTAGGTAAAAATATGAACTTTTTGGTAATTAAATTAAAAATTTTGTTTGATTTAATTTTGGGAGACTTTAAGTCCTGCTTCCCTTCTATAAGGAGAAGCAAAGTCCTTTCCTACTCCGGAGGTTTAGGTCACTTGGTACTAGTGCATGACTTTACCAATGCATGTTCATTGCTTACCTTAGATGTACTTGTATTATGATGTAATTATTGCAGCGACGAGAAAGCATTGAACTCCATCTCACAATCTCCTCCAGCTATTGTTTCATTATCTTTTGATTAAAGATCAGCCACTGTCTAGAGTGTTTATACCGTATTTCCTCGGATAAGCGCCCTTGTCTTATAGAGAGCCCAACCCCTACGCCAAAATGTCACATAAGCATCCCACTCCAATAAGCGCCTTCCCTTTGACATTTTCATAAATCAGTAAGGTTAAACGAAAAAATCATGTGTTATTTTATTGCCAATTTATGAATACCTTTTTTAACTTTTAACTACAGTGGAATCAGTAAAGGAGAATGGTTTCTTTTCTGTTCCAGTTACTTCTTTCTCCACGTGTCTGAAGAGTTCCTCTATGTTCATTGTCTTTTCCTCTAATTTTTGTCTTATTGTTATGCTCTTGGTAAATGCCGTTAACTTCTTCAACAAAACTAGACCATTCTCTAGCCTTCAGGAGACCAGTAGTCTCTACGTTTATGAAGTTATTAGGATGCATTTAAGAAACAGTCTATATGGAATTATAGCTCAATCGAAATGTGACCAACAAGCTTTGAACTGTGGGTACCATACACGCGCTCCACTTTTAAGTTCTCCTTGCATTGCCCTCAAACTTCGTGGCTAGCTTTTTCCTTGACATTTTTTTGAGCAAATAGATATCTCCCTTTTCTTAAAAAAAAAGACTTGTACAATCCATAAGAAACGTGTGGTAGATTTCGTTCAACCTGGGAGGCTGCTCATTGAAATAATATTTACCCACAAGGCCTTTCCTTCGTTCTCGGTTATCAAGCGCGGAGCCCGTTCCTAAAAAGTCCAGGTAGTCGACGGTCCCAAAATGTTGTTTGGTATTTGTCCTGTTTACGTGTTTGATCGATATCAAGAGATTATTTTGTTGCTGATATATTGTGTTATTGAAAATCAGAGAGTTGAAATATTTGGGAAGTAAAACGAGTAGAGTTGTTTATGAGTCAGTTCCATATAATTAAATATTGATGGCTTCAGTAAAGTATAAGGAGTTTGGAAGCGGTCGAATTCAAGACAGGAAAATCCAAACCTTTGCCCTAAGACGGCCTGTAGAAACATATGGGAATACATAACATCAAAAAATTCATGTTGACAATAAAATAGAAATTTATCTCAGGTTTGCCTATACGAGTGAAGAAGGGGAAGGCATAGACGTTTCTTTTGGTTCCGACGCAAATGAGATTTTAGCCACCGGTCAGTCTGCTACCCAGTCCCCTCGGGAGTACATGTTTGAGACAGACAACGCCAAGTTCCACCTCATCGACACTCCAGGCATCGGGGACTGTCGCGGAACTGACAAGGATAAAGAAAACTTTGACAACACTCTGGCATTTCTCACCATCTACGACAAGATCCATGCCGTGGTTGTGCTTCTCAAGCCAAACAATGCACGGTTGACTGTGGCCTTTAAATTCTGTGTGTTAGAGCTCCTCACACATCTTCATAAGTCGCTGGAATCTAACATTATATTTGCCTTCACCAACTCCAGGGGAACGTTTTACCAGCCAGGAGACACCCTGCCAGTTCTCAAGGAACTCCTGGCGAAACACAACCTTAAAATCGATGTTTCACCATCGAACTATTTTTGTTTCGACAACGAAGCTTTCAGGTATTTATCTTTCTTAGGTCTAAACTTGGGTCTAAACTTTGATCAAGAGAACAAAGATTTTTTTGAAATTCATTCATTCATTTATCTGTTTATTATCTCTCTTTTTCATAAACCAGACCCTATAGGGGCTAAGGCTAAAGAGTGTTCCAATTTACAGCAAATTTTAAATACCTTAAGTTGGGTAGTAAAGTGTGTGATCATAAATTTTAATGAAATAAATTTAAGGACTATCAATTTTTTTGCGATGTGAATTTAAAACTTTAATTCGATTAAAAAACATATCGATAATAGGAAATATCATAGAAGAGTGGCTATTAAATTTCCTCAGAGTATTACCACATGATCTGAAATGGGTACCGTAAAACAAAACATACAGGCTTGAGAGGTCTATCATTGAGTAAAGGCGATCTTTGAAGGAAAACAGTTGTGTCTGCTTCACTTCGCCACGCAAAATACGGATCGAGTAAGAACCAGTTAGAACGCTCAGATTTACCTCGGGACTGCCTTGCCGCATAATAAAAGATATACCTATAAATATAATCAAATACGTAAAACTTTATCTTGAGTCGCGGAGTGCTCTACAGTGGTGGAGCTATATAACTAATTGAATGGTTAAGGAAAAATTATAACATTGCACTGCAAATCTGTTCCAGAAGGGACTGGTGGTCATCCAAGCCCTTTCGAAACAGATCTGTAGTGCAATGTTATCATTTTTCTTTGACCATTCAACTAACTCAATATATATATTTAACAATTATTCGCCGAAGGCGTGGTGAATATCGTCGAATAATCCCCGAGACGAAGTCGAGGGGATTATTCGACAATATTCACCGAACCTGAGGCGAATAATTGTTTTAGTATAATTTCAGAGCTGATGCTACAGAAGCCGGAATTAAGCACCGGCCTAATGGGCCACTAGGCTCGTAAACAGACTTTACTTTAATTAAGGAAGACAAGAAACAAAAACAAACGAACAAATCACAAATAGATAAAATTAGTGTTGTAAGGCCAACGTTCATTCAATTCGTTTATCTTTATGGTTGGGCGTGGAGCTTGAGCTTCTATCTTTGCCGTGAGGGGCATTGAGAGAATAACAGAATTCGAAATTACGTAGCTTTTAGTCCTAGTGCTGGATTTGTATGGGTTAGGGTTAGGGTTAGGGTTATTCATCATTCTTGGTGCAATTTAAACTATGATACTTGTTTAACTGCAGATGTTCATAGTTGTGAACCATTCTTATGTAAGTCTAATTGTTTTACAGAAATCGAAAAGGAACTTGATGATGTACTGCGCGGTAAGAGAGGTTTCGATGCTATTAATGAAAAAGTGACTCCAAAAACCCTGTCAAGGTGTAAAACCAATACCTTACTGAAAGCTTTCCAGGTTGGTTTTATTACCATATCGTATCGATTTTACCAGCATACTTCACCTAAGGCTGTTTCGACAGACCAACTAATAAAAGTGATTAACAACTACTGCTGTGGAAAAGACTTTGATTGCAAAAAACTGTGTGAAGTTACATTCAAAAACTGTTCCGAAGGATCTCGACATAAGTTCATAAGTTTAGTTTTAGGGCCGTTGCAAAGGAACTCGATATTAGTTTGATTGATTAATTTTTTTGGTGTTTCGTTCGACCAAATTTGATAGCAGAGCAAGCTTGTCTTGTTCGATTGTCGGATTTACAGAGATGAGAGAAGCCAGAGAAAGTGCTACGGACAGCTTGGGAGAAGCCGATGCAAATTAGGTTCTGTTGGATAAATTGAAAAGACAGCGACGATTCCTTCTAATGTTGGAAGAAGATATTGACTGACCGACGATTTTGCTAGCCTTTGAAACCGTTGAAGAGGAAGGATTGGATGTAATAATATTTTGGAAGCATTGATGATCATTTACATCAAGCACGGTGACAAGAAGAAAGTAGATAGATCAAACGAAGAAACTGACATAATCATCGATTCTGTGGACAACGAGATTGCCAAAGGGCTGTTACGAAAACGCGGAGTGCGGAGTGGGCCAGAGGACTGTTGTCAGACCCATATCCAAATGCATTTTATTGGAATCCAGCTAGACAAAACGTCGTTCAAGAGTTTGACAAGTCAAAGAGGAAAATGTTGAAAATACTTTGATTAAAAAAAATAGAAAACAACTGTGCGGAATGTATTCAAAAACCGTTCCGAAGGATCTCGAGATAAGTTTAGGTTTAGAGACACTCCGAAGGATCTCAATATTAGTTTCAGTGTTTATTTTTGGTGTTTCGTCCGACAATCTGCGGTTTGGTTTCACTACTCCTTATTAGCTCTTCATACTCATACTACTCTCTCAAACATTGAACTTCAAAACTACAAACAACTGCAACTTGTTTGCTCTCGTTGTACTGACTTTTTCCTTAATCAACTTTGAATTATCATTGGCTTTCAGCGATATTTGTATTTGTTTAATTGGTTATCGAGACTTCATTGTTCTAATTCACAACAGGCAATAAAAAATATTTCCTGTCATTTACAAGAAATTGGAACTAACATGACGTCAGAAACATTGTCATTGATTTAAATAGAGCCGTATGATTAAGGTAATAACTGTTTCTTTTCTCCAAAAGGTCACCAAAATACTCAGAGATCTAGCACACGAAGGAAACCCAGAGAAAGATGATATACAAAAATTGGAAAAATCTTTGAATGAGTTCACATCAGCCTTGATAGACCCTCTAAAAGCCCACGATGATTTCCAACAATTATCAAGTGGTTTTGACCAAGTGATAGACAAAGCAATTGATACGAAGCAGAAGAAGGTACTATACAAAAGATAAAAAGGTTTCTTATTAATACTTTACGCTATTCCTCACCCTTCATGTTGATTCTAGCGGGATGCTTTTCCCATATGGGCACCTCGGTGCCCTTTCCAACGTGCAATATATATAAATGTATAGTCTGCAGTTAGATAGCTCTCGCTTGGCTTTGCCTTTTGGCTACCTTGCGATTGAGCACTTTACACTGGGGTTGCCATGCACTTAGCCTTCGGGCGAAGCTCATCACCTTAGTTGTGATTTGAGCACTCTCGCATGGCAACATGCCTGCACTTGGTCCCACAAGTGTAGCGCCCAGGCAATGGTTTATTCCAGAGCTTGGCCCAGTGTCTGCACTGCACTGATGAGACCCACATAGGTCGAAACAGTGTGCACTGTCTGCAGTTAGATAGCTCTCGCTTGGCTTTGCCTTTTGGCTACCTTGCGATTGAGCACTTTACACTGGGGTTGCCATGCACTTAGCCTTCGGGCGAAGCTCATCACCTTAGTTGTGATTTGAGCACTCTCGCATGGCAACATGTCTGCACTTGGTCCCACAAGTGTAGCGCCCAGGCAATGGTTTATTCCAGAGCTTGGCCCAGTGTCTGCACTGCACTGATGAGACCCACATAGGTCGAAACAGTGTGCACTGTCTGCAGTTAGATAGCTCTCGCTTGGCTTTGCCTTTTGGCTACCTTGCGATTGAGCACTCTACACTGGGGTTGCCATGCACTTAGCCTTCGGGCGAAGCTCATCACCTTAGTTGTGATTTGAGCACTCTCGCATGGCAACATGCCTGCACTTGGTCCCACAAGTGTAGCGCCCAGGCAATGGTTTATTCCAGAGCTTGGCCCAGTGTCTGCACTGCACTGATGAGACCCACATAGGTCGAAACAGTGTGCACTGTCTGCAGTTAGATAGCTCTCGCTTGGCTTTGCCTTTAGCTTTGAAAACGTGTTTAGGATGAGCACTTGATGGTGGGAGATACAGGTGACTATCAGTTGGCTTTGAGTAAACGTCTGTCCTAATAAAACCCTCGATAAGATGTAGAGTTAAATCTAGCACATGGAGCTCTCGTTCGGAAGAAACTAATTCGAATTTTATAGTGGGATACAAGGAGTTTATAAATTCAGTAAACTCATGCAGTGCCGGAAGGCCTTGTTGCCAGAGATCAAAAACATCATCACAGTATCGCCACCACCATAGAATGTGATGGATTTTAATCACCGTTAGTTCACCCTGAACCACGAGAGCCCAAAGTTGAGGTAATTTAATACTATTACTGACAATTTAGAGCAATAAATGATTAACTATGTCAATCAAAATATTTTAGAAGTCGAAAATTGTGGATTTTTACTAGCGAATATCTTCAATGTGCAACACTGTATGTAGTCCAACTTATATTCATAGAGGAAAGCTACGATATTACTGTCTTTGATCAGATAAAGTTGGCATCTATAAAGTATTTCTGATCACACCCCGAGTTCTGAAGTGTGTGACTGCAACGTTAATTTGTGCAAATTGTGACCTCGAAATTGTCTTTAATGAGACAAATTCAGCTCTAAAAAACCCTTCGAGCCGTTTTGTAACAGAAATTTTTTATGTCAAGTTTCATATTTCAGGATCCTGAAGTTCGTTTAAATAATGCAAACCCTGTTGTGAGGGCTGGAAAGTAAGTAAATATAAAAGAAGGCACTTAGTTACACAACTTGCGCCAAAAAGTACTGTTCAACAAAATAATATTCTTTTAGTGCTCTCTGCAAAAGTGATTGATAATTTGCATGTAAGTGAGTCGACATTTGCCAGAAGTAGTAAATCAATTTAGCGGCATCGGTTTTTACGATAGGGATAACTACTAAACAGAAATACGAATACGGATTCTTTTTCGTTTTGTTGTCTTCTTAGTGAAGACTTTTCTGGCGCAAGTAAGCGATTTTAAGATCAGTAATCTGTCTGTTAATCGATGCAAAAGTTCAAATGCCTGGAAGTTTCCCGGAGGTTGTTGAAGCTTCGAATTAATCGACGCATAATTGCTTTCTCTCACAAATGAGTTTCCATTATTTACACAAATTATAGAATCATCTTTGGAGAACATGCATGCTAAAATGCAAATGAAACGTCATAGAAATAAGAGAAAACAACTGTGTTTATTTCTGTAAAATGACGATTTATTATCAAAGAAAAATTTTTTATCTAGACGTGAAGTTTTCTTCCGGATCCAAGTGCGGTTTTAGTTCAGCTGCCTTACCTTCTACATAATCCTTTCCCAAGGATGCCCAGGCTTGGGCTACCTGTGGTGTGATCAGAAATATATTTCACAAAGGTCAAAATGTTTTTGATCGGAAACATAGTACTATGATAGGTTTCCACTATGAATTTAGGTTGGAGAACATAACCTCAACTTTGGGGTTCTGGTTGCCTATGCTAAGTTTAGACCAAAAAAGATTAAAATGCAATACATTCCTTGGGCTTGACAGAGATTTGTTGAAAGTGCAATTTTTGAAGCAAATTTGGGTTTTATCCCTGGGATTTGATGTGAGAGCTCTCATACCCCAAAGATTAAACGGGTTAGTTAACAACTTTTTAAACCTTACAATCTGTGAAAGTTTGAAAGAAATCAGTGGTATGGTATGTGTAACGCTTACCCGGTCCTCTCGTAGACAGACTTTTTCTTAACAGTGAGTCCTGCGCTGCCACGTTGCTTGGCGTCGCAGATGGTGTGACCACCAAATGACGTACACAGAACTTTAAGATTAAGACCCTCTCCAAACCTCACCCTACTTCAGCATTGTTAGTTTTCTTAAATGTACATTTAACAAATAGATTGTAGACTATGTTACCGCGCTTCTGTTCTGTAATAGATCACAATAGACGTCAAAATGTGGTAAGGGAAAAAAAAAATTGGCGTACTAGGCGCACCCGAGTGTGTCACTGATATGTCGCTAGAATAATTTTAAATAAAAAATGGATCAAAATTTTGTCGACAGTGACATGCATGAGACTCTCCTGTATTAGATTATAAGTAAGAACCAATCCAAATTTAGCTT